ATGTCACACCGTTCTCCACGGCGGAGTCTTACCCTTCTACGACCATCCTGTGTATCTAGACAGAATCGCGATTCGTTGCTGAAGATGACATTATACCATTCTCTCTCCCAGTGTTGCCGTTCTCTGCTCCAGTTCAAACGTTGACGACAATGGTCCGCAATCAGAGAAAGTACTAACCATGGACGGTATGCCTAAAGGCTCAAATGCGGTGATTAAGTGTACGCATAGTAACAGGTCCACCTTCTTCTCCGCACAATTGGTCAGCGATCTAACGCATAGTGGCAAAACGGTTTCGTAGAGCTAGTTATCTGAAGCGCTTATCTTGACGCTCTGTGGTACGCCTCAGTGAACCAGTAGGTCTTCGTGTTCCTCTGCCTTCTATCCACACACGACACACACAATTCCAATCAACATCTGGATAGGAAATAATTCTACCCCTGTCAAAGTCAATAACCTGGTGATAATTTGGACGTCTTCGAACCCGAGGCATTACATTGTTCAATGTTTCTACTGATTTTATGACATGTACAAAAAAAAAACATATTTAAATTGTACGAATAAAGTGAATCTTAAAGTTAACAAACTATGAGAAATATTTCTTGGAAAGGTGATTTCATGGTAAAATATCAACTAACTTTCCCTAGAGGCATCTGACCAATGCTCTACAAGAAAACCATAGATAGATAAATACGCTTTACTGTCTGAAGAATACAATCATTCTTGATGACACAGCTAACTTTAAACTATAATTATATAAGTGGATCTTACGTACGCTAATTGAAGAACTCACACAAGGTTTACATATTAAAAAGGTTTTAGTTCACGGCAGAATATCTCTAAATTGTTAATTCCTTTGATAGCATCAGCGAGACACATGTAAATTTTCAGACCATTATAAATTATTCAGTCTTTCAAAAGTGTTGTTTTGGGTAATACTAAATTGAAATCTTGCGATTGTCTAATATTGTAACGTATATTTAATGTTTCAAATTTAGATTTATTTTTAGAAATAAGAGTTCTAAAATGAACAATGATAAGACAGTCATTATTTTAAGATTTACAAATAAAGGATTGCATGTAGCTCTAGAATTGCTTTTAGTTATATATCTAATAGTTTGGTTTTGTAGAATAAGCACCTTTTTAAAAGAATTTTGGGGACATACACACCAAAGGGGAATGCTATAATCTCAGTCTACTTTCGACTAAGGCAAAGTAATTAAATAAATTTGTATTGTGCCTTCAACTAGGCAATCAACATGGTCATATTTATTTTTGTATGTTTCTATTTTTTTAGTACAATCAGAAAATTTATCTTGATGCAGAGCAACGCATTTACATATTTGACCATTTCCAAATGCCTCGAAAACAAATATGCGCATTGCCACAATGAAGATAAACATCAGTTTACCTTTTTTTTCAAATCCCATCCACAAAACTGTTGGATACGCCCAAGGATAAACAAAAAGTTGTAAGACATAGAAGAACGAAGTTTAGAAATGATGTGAAGCCTTATTCTGTTTTGCTCATAACTAAACAGTGGCTTTGCAACATGGAAAATTTTACCCAAATTCAAACCTCGCTATTTTCGGAGCGGAGATACCGAGTTCCGGGAGGTTCTTGACCAACTCGTTGAGAACACGTATAGGGATCGACGGCTTTATTTCTTTTATTTATCCACTTATGTGTCACAGGGTGAGCAACGGAAGTCGTTTTTTAACAAAGTTTTGATCTTGGAAACTGTTCTATGCATCTTTGTGATCTTTGAACTATCCTAAAAATACGCAACAGTATGAGAAAAAATACCTATTCTCAAGAGAAAGTTCCTTTTTTATGGATAAACGTGACGCTTTTTTAAAATTCGGTAATTTGAGTTAAAACCACTTTTTATAGGATAGTCCAAAGATCAAAAACATGCATAGAAAAATTTCTTAAGATCAAAAACTGAGAATCTGATATAGCCCCAAACGTTGCTAAGAAAAACTGACTTCTTTGCTCACCCTGTATAAGTGGATAAATAAAAGAAATACACCGGCCGAACCCTGTGCGTGTTCTCAAAGGATTGGTCAAGAACCTCCCGGATACTACAACTCGATATGTCTTTCCGTTCCGAAAATATCGAAATTTGAATAAAATGTTCCATGTTGCAAAGCAACTGTCCACCAGTTTATGTCGCCACAGAATCAAATTTCAAAAATAAAGTAGAAGTACCAGCTATCTATACATTGTCTAAATTTTATCAAAATCGGTGATTATGCGATCAAAAAAAACGCTAACAGACAGATCGACGAACACGAGACGCAGTTTTTCTTGAAACCTGACGAAACTTCAACAAACGTTCTTTACATATGGGCGAGATGTACAACCTGTAGTAAAACGATAATTTAGGAAAGTTTTTGCTTTTAGTGTCCCAGTTTATAAATTTTAAATAACATTTATTGAAAAAATGTATTCTTTTTGGATTACTGTCTATAGATATGCGTCTTTCCATAAATTAGTGTTTTATTCATATCATTGCAAGATCTATGCAAAATTCAAATCATGGTCTTTTTAGGTCTGCACAAAGGAATTCCATTCCTTCCAATTACTATAGAATTACTCCAAGAATGAAGTAACCAATAAATGCTAAAGCCAATGCCAACTACTTGCATTCTCTTTTCTTACAGTAAACGGTTCTTGATCACATGTTTTAAATAATATATAAAAAGAAAGACACCATATCTGGGAAAATGACTGAAATAAAAATGATACGAAAGGAAATAATAAAACAACTCAGAACAATTAAAAATATTTAATGATACAGACTAACAATGTATAGAATATACAAAACTTATAAACATATAAAAACCTTCACCGGATATAAAAAAATGGACGGATTAAGTACAATTCAATACATGTAGTTCTTATAATACTGGAATCAGAATTCCAAATTATCTTGCATTAAAAATCTCCACTAACAACAACAACAAATATATTTCAATAGAATGAGTATCATCTGGATAATTCTATAACATCCAATTCAAACTGAGGAGTTAGTTTTAATTTTTTTGTGAAGTGTCTACCTGAACACAAGAATATTTAGAGGCATTAAAACTCAATAAAACCATTCCAACAGTTTGGTCATAATAGGGAAGAATTATTTAAATACCGAAGTGACTGAAATTGATGTGAATCTTTTAGGGCCATATCGTCAGCCGTCCCTAGAACTGTAGGACGCCTTTATGGCCTACTTGATTTTCATAGTTTTCTACTCTTCCGTGTGAGCGCTCTATTTTGAGGTTATCTCACAAATATCTGTTTGCATCAAATTGTTCATGCTTTTGATGTATACCATCTGTTTTATCAGCCTGAAATTCCCTACAGTTCAAAAAGATAACATAACTTCACAATAGGGGAGCGCTGACGCTGACATGGAACAGTAGAAATGTAGAAATACCCAGGAGAGAAAAGTCTATGACAATCAAGGAGGCCATAAACGTATTGTAGGAACTTCTGACGATACGCCCCTTAAATTTCATTATTAAACATGCCTCAATGCATTTTACTACTGGAAGTGTATAGTTTTAACAAAATTAATATTGTTAAATCAACCGAAAAGCGGAATTACAGAGAATTATAGACCAAATACAGGGCAGGCCAGAAAGACGTACGTATTTCAAAACCCCATTGCTCGTGACAGGCACGCGGGAGCGGGACACGGGTAGTGGGGATAATTAGCTAGGTTTCACCGGCGAGCACCGTACGTTCTGTGTTAAGGCTTATTACAAAACTAGAAATTCGTGCACTATTGCGCGGTGTCCATTTTGCTCCGAGTTTAATTTACATGAACTAAATCAATGTCTTAGTAAAAGTGTGATCAGTTCGTGGGTCAAAGAGTTCGAGTCTACCGGATCGACACTGAATCAGAAACCTGCGGGGCGTCCGAGGTCAATACGATCAGAGAAAACTGTAAGCGAAGTTGCGACGTCCGTACTGCGCGATCCACAGTTGTCAATCCGAAAGAGATTAGCTGAGCTCGCCATATCAAGAACATCTGTAAGGCGTATTTTGGTAAAAGACCTTAAATTGCACATATGTATATAAACTTCAACTAATGCAGGAATTGAAACCACAGGGCCACTATGCATTTGTGGAAACAATGTTGGAGCACTTTCCAAGTTTGAACAAAATTCTTTTTTCTGATGAAGCTCATTTTCATTTTACTGGATTTGTCAACAAGCAAAATTACCGATATTGGGCCGCAGAAAATCCCAAATTAAAACACCAACGACCTTTGCCTTCGCTTTATGTTACAGTTTGGACGGCCATGTCGGCTAGAGGAATCATCGGACTCTTCGAAAACGAGCAAGGCATAATGTTTAGTGGAAAACTGATATCGCGACGAGGGGACATTCCGTGGCCTCCCCGCAGCCCAGATCTCACGCCAATGGATTTGTTTTCTAGGGATAGCTCAACCACAACATTTCCGAGGAGATGTCCGCTATCTCACGAGCGATGTGTCAGTAAGTTTTCACGAATTTGAAGTCGAGATTCGAGGAGTGCGTATGTCTCGATGGCTCTCGTCGCAATGACATTATTTTAGAAAAATAAAATTCCCATGTGACTACGTTATTAAAAATATAAATTATCTTCCCTATGCTTATCTAGTTTTTCTTCTATGATTTTTTAAAATTCGCCCAACTTAATGGCCCACCCTGTATGAAGCTACGGAATTTTAAATGTGGTATTTTTCGTGTATTGCCTAGTTAGATAACTTCTAAGCAATATACATCTGATCAGTCAAAGAACACAGTGGATATTTTTTAAACTTTTGTTAGCGTCCAGATTTTAAGAATGGAATATTATTATTGAACAACAAATAAACACAAACATCAGATCAATAAAATAATACGTCAAAAATATCATTCAGATTCGTAAAAAGGACTGTATACTGTAAGAAAAGATCGCAACGTGAAATGCCGTTAGTCGAGAGAAACACCCGTGAAAAAATTAGCTAGTCTTACCAGCCCACTGTCTTCAGTATGTGTGGAATTAACAGAAGCAAGGGAGGTGTTAGAGCCCCCAGATCCACCAGAAGGGCTCCTCGGCACTTGGAGATTCTGGGTTGAACGACGTCTTTGCTTGTCATCCAGCAAAGTGTACGAACAATTGTTTGGCACCTTTACCACACATCTCTTGTGATAATTCTGTCCACAACCTGCAACGAATTCGACAAAGGATATGATACACATCTTGCGGGAAATCAGTTTGGTGTAATTGTCGACAATTTTGTTATGTTCATCTTAAAATAAAATATATTGACTAAACTAAAACTATTGACAGCTATTGACAATTGGTTTTGTTGTATTCGTATATATATGTATATATATAAATATATACCCGATTTCACGAGTACCCATCACGTTTTGACGTCTACTCAGATGAACAGCTGATCGGCAAATGACATTTTTGTGTTAGTCATTCACGTTGGCAATAATGAATCGGGTATAAATCTAGTAAAACTTTTCTAAATAAAAGAGCTGTTATCAAGTACAAATGAATCTGTAGCGTATACAAAAACAAAACAAAATACGGCTCTGACTACCTGGAATTACTTATTTACTCTTTAGCGATATTTTGTAATATTTTCAAAAATGGTGATTTTATTCTGATGAATAAAAAAGAATTCCTGAAAAATTAGTTTAAAAAAAATAAAATTTACGGGAATTCCGTATAAAATTTCCTTTGGCCTAAATTTTAGGTTAGGAACAAGACATCCAGATGTGGTTTTCGCGAGCTTGTTTAGACATCATTTAGCTACTTTTTCATGAAAAATCATACCAATGCATTTTTATTTTTTTTGAGAAATTAACCTTTTATGTCGGAAGGTCGATAAAAGTACTCGGCCACATGTGAAACTAACAAAACTTCAAATATTATAACACTTGTAGCCCAAGAATAGCTCTTTTCAACTAGCCCAAGTTTGTTCAAATCGGCTCAGTCGTTTCAAAGATACATGGTGGTTTTTACGGAAACCTTAGTATATCCCCCCAACTTTATTTTTGGAGATACAGCAAAAATTGTCAAACAAAACTTTAAAGATCAGGTATTTTTTGTTAGGTTAATATAGTGGCCATTTCTGAAGCTTGAGAATATTTTCCTGGATTTTGCCTTGGCCGTATATGTACCTATTATGACATAAACAACTAGAGTAAACGAGAACCGGAACATATAAATTATGGTATCCTTAAAGCATTAACACCATCTAAGTCCCTACGAGTATAACACAGTCCCATACTCGTGAGACAGGATGTGATGTTTGCATTTTTACCCGAGACTACTGATTTCTGGAAAATTCGTAAGTGTAATCTTATAATATAAAAAGGGTCTTTGACCATTCTCTGTACTCATTTCGTTATTTGTTCTTCTGTTCTCAACTGTTGCTGATGTCTCAATAAAAGTTAGTCTACAAAAGTTACTGAATTATTTCTCTAACATCATTTGGCGATTATAAGAGAAATAGGAACGCGAGTGATAATTCCTCAGTGCAATCAATCACCCACGATCCACACGTATTTAATTGGCGCTGCGAACAGGATGCCGAGCCTTCATCAAGTAGTATGACTTGGTCAGAAATCACCAAGATTCACTGAGAAGCCAGCTAGAAGGTAAAAGTTTTCAAACTTTTGCAATTGGGTATCGCTACTGAAACCTGTGAACGAGTTCCGAGGCCGGAAAGACCTCTCAAGTTCCTGTCCCAAGTTCATCCTAGTGGCCGGTAAGACCACACATGTTCCAGTAACTTTTTGGAGAAAACTTTTGCATCCAGAACAACCAGAAAACAGAACGAATGGGTCCCTTGGCGACATCGATGCTGATCACGTCATTGCAAGTAGATTTAGAAAGTTTATTAAGAAGTAAGAAGATTTTTATTGAAGAAATTGAAAAAATATAAGAAGATTTTGATATTAATTGATATTGTACAAAGAAGAGATACCATTTGGAGAAAAAGACGACTTATTTGTGAAAATATTTGATTTTTGCTTGGTGTTTAAATATTTTTAAGCCTCTTGTTAGACGATTTAGTAGAGAGAGTTCATACTCCCCTTACACTTATCCACGTTCAAGTGCTAGTTCTAGTCATCCTCCTCTTGACTCAAATATTTCAAATTCTGAAACCACAATGGCACAACCGAATGGTAATGAACGTTACATAATGCTTGAACTACGATTCAGGAGTCTTAAAGACTCTCTGCCAAAAGTTTCTCCTAACCAAAATGATTTGTCTACCTTTATCCGAGAAAGTGAGTTGTTCATTTCAAAATTCCGAAACACAAAATTCAAAGAGCCTGTTGTCGAATTGGTCATGTTAAATATTCGAAATCTATGACCTCTCTCAAATGTCTATTATTTGTTTACAAGATGAAATTATATTTGTAATTAAGTTTCCCATTTTAGATATTAAGGAATTTACATTGTATAAATTATTTGCGATTTCTATTCATCATGAACTTATTACTCAGCCAAGTGAGTATTTATTAACTTATGAAAAGAACTATTATTGTTCTGACATTATTAAACTAAGTAATCAACTGTATGTTTGTAAAAGTACTTTCCAGTCTCCCTGTCAACCACAGAGGTTCGAAATGTGTGAGTCTGAAAGCATAACAAACTACACGAGAATATTAGAATTGAATAAAAATAATTATATAATTGATACTAATCAACTAACAAAGATAAAAGACTGTAAATGTACTTCTTTTATACATTATGCAACACATAGTATTTTAGAATGTAATACTTTAATTAACCATAAAACTTTAGAATTTGATTCCACATTTCAGATTAAGTTAGACCTTGCTTATGCAGCAATATACCATACAGGCTTGGCAGGGGCTCTGACATAGAAGCAGCTGTCGAGTCTCTGAGCAGGGACTTGACGGCTGCATATGAGGAAAACTGCCCGTTACGCAAAGTACAAGGTAAGGGCAAGGCAACCTTCTGGACCAAAGATTTAGAGGATAGAAAACGAGCGGTGCACAAACTTCTTAGCAGAGTTAAGCACAGGAGAGGTTCTCCTCTATGGGAAGAATACAAAAAGGCATTGCAGGAGTACAAAAAGGAGATTAGAAGGGCCTCCAGAGAATCCTGGAGGCACTTCTGTCAGTCCATAAATGACATTCCTGCTACTGCAAGAATACACAGAGTCCTATGCAAAGACATTAAAGCAAGATTGGGATCTCTGCATGATCCCTCGGGGGGGAACACTACTTCCGAGGAAGATACTCTGAGGCTTCTGATGGATACGCACTTTCCCGGTTCCACAGTAGCGCGATCAATCACAGAGTGCATGCAGTTGCGCAGGCCCTCAAGGGAGGACTGGCGCACGGCAAGGGAGATTGTCACCTTCGAAAGGACGGTATGGGCAGTAGATTCGTTTGCCCCATACAAAAGTCCAGGTTTGGACGGCGTATTTCCGGCCATGTTACAGCAGGGACGGATTTCGGTTGTTCCTTACCTGCTGAAGGTGTTTCGAGCATGTGTGGCCACGGGCTTCACACCTAGAAGCTGGCGGCAGGCTAAAGTGGTATTCATTCCTAAACCGGGCAGAGATAGATATACTGGCCCGAAGGATTTTCGACCGATTACTCTTTCATCTTTCGTGCTTAAGACCCTGGAAAGGATAGTTGATAGATACCTAAGGGATGGCCCACTGGAAAGGTGTGTCATTCATGCAAATCAGTTTGCATACCAAGCTGGAAAATCGACTGATCTGGCCTTACACAATCTGGTCGGGAGGCTGGAGAAGACTCTAGATCAGCGAGAAGTGGCACTCGTGGCCTTCTTAGATATTGAAGGTGCATTTAATGGCACCACAACCGACTCTATCAGACAGGCCTTGGTTAGACACGGGGTTGGATCAATCCTAATAGATTGGGTCCTCTCTACTCTGGAGGGTCGGGTAACAACAGCTATGCTGAATAACGTAAGCTGCAGCGTGAACGTAGCTAGAGGCTGCCCTCAGGGCGGAGTTCTGTCACCCCTACTGTGGTGTATCGTGGTGAACGAACTGCTCGTTAGGCTCAGCAGTATGGGTGTCTACGCGCAAGCCTATGCTGATGACGTAAGCATAGTGGTTAGGGGGCGTTTCTGTAGAACAGTCTCGGAAATTATGCAGGGCGCTCTGCGCTCCGTGGAATCGTGGTGTAGGGAAGTCGATCTTTCTGTTAATGCTGAAAAGACCGAGCTGATCCTATTCACTAGGAGAAGAAGGCTTGACGGACTGGTCACGCCGACCTTCTTTGGGACTAGATTAGTTTTGTCCCAGTCAGTGAAATATCTGGGAATTATCCTGGACTGCAAACTGAACTGGAGAGAGCATGTGGAACACAAGGTTAGCAAGGCTCGCAATTCGATGTGGGCTTGTAGACGTGTTGTCGGTGTAAGGTGGGGGCTTAAACCCAAAGTGGTATACTGGCTCTACACGACGATAGTACGTCCATCTCTCTTGTACGGCTCCCTGGTCTGGTGGCCTTGCATTAGAACTGAGTCAACTAAGGCCAAACTCAATAAAATTCAGCGTTTGGCCTGTATTAGCATTACAAGCGCAGTGCGAACAACGCCATTGAGTGCAATGGAAGCTCTGTTGGATCTCCCACCGTTGGATCTGGTGATCCGCGGTGAAGCGAGAGTAGTCGCTCATCGACTGTGGAGTCAGGGCAGCTAGGCTTTCTTGAATCCGGTCAAGGGGCATACTGCCATATTAGTCGAATTAGAAAGGGAGGACCCCGTCCTTCTAAGCAGGGGTGATCGTATTACCCCTAAATATCGCTTCAACCGCAAGTTTATTGTGGAGTACCCAACGAGGGAGGAGTGGGACGCCGGTAGCCGAGGACTCTCCGAAGTGAGCGGGCAGGTCTGGTACACGGACGGCTCGGTCACCGAAGAGGGCTCAGGTGCTGGGGTCTCTGGACCTAGAACTAGGCTATCTCTGCCTCTCGGTGAGTACACCACCATTTTCCAGGCGGAAATCTTTGCGATTCTGGCTTGTGTATCTCACATTCTGGAGGAGGGTGGGCCTAGGAGAAGAATAACAATCTTATCCGACAGCCAGGCTGCAATGAAAGCACTAAGTGTATGTAAGATTACTTCGAGTCTTGTATTGCAATGCAGGGAGGCTCTGGATTGCCTCGCAGCGAGGCATCCGGTATCGTTAATATGGGTACCGGGGCACGCTGGGATAAGGGGCAATGAGACGGCGGACACTCTGGCGAAAACAGGATCAGCCAGCAAGCTCGTTGGTCCTGAGCCAGCTCTAGGAGTAACCGCGCATAAAGCTAGGAGGAAAATGGAGACGTGGGTTGCAAGACAACACTCTCAGAAATGGAGAAGTATCTCTAGACATCTCCGCCAGGCACGAGAGCTCATTGAAGGGCCCAGTGCTAAGGATGGACGCTTCTGCCTATCTCTGGGTAGAGCCAACCTAAGGTTGCTGGTGGGACTGTTGTCTGGCCATAACACGTTAAGGCGGCACCTGCACGTGATGGGGGTGGCTGAGGATCCCTTGTGCGAACGTTGCGGAGTAGAGGAAGAGACCTCGGCGCACGTTTTGTGTCGCTGTGAAGCTCTGAGCTACTATAGGCAGACTATACTGGGGTCCATTACTTTGGACCCTCAGGACGTAAAGGAGCTTGGACTCAAGGCGATTCTCAACTTCGCTAAAAGGGCGAGGCTTGTGATTTAAGTATTGTAGAGGTGCATAAGGGCCCGCTTAAGCGGCCTATGCACTGGCTCCTTATGGTGGCCGGGATGCCTCTAAAATTCAAGATTCATTCATTCATTCATTCATGCAGCAAAAAGTACGCAATATCAGTTTCAGAAAACAAATGTTTCACTGGAATCTGATTTACATCAAAACCTTACCTCTTTGCAAGTCAGCTTTCAGAATTTACATTATAGATCTATTGTAAATTATCCTATCATTTTATTCTGTATTCTTATATTTTTAATCATTTTTATTATTGTATTTGTAAAATATCGTTATGTAAAGGACACCAAAGTTCCACCCACAACTCCAATTTCTAAACCCGCTGAGGAAATACCTTTAGCTTAACTTTGTCTGATTCGAGACGAATCTTTTTCACCGTGGGGAGGAGTTATGGTATCCTTAAAGCATTAACACCATCTAAGTCCCTACGAGTATAACACCGTCCCATACTCGTGAGACAGGATGTGATGTTTGCATTTTTACCCGAGACTACTGATTTCTGGAAAATTCGTAAGTGTAATCTTATAAAAATGGTCTTTGACCATTCTCTGTACTCATTTCGTTACTTGTTCTTCTGTTCTCAACTGTTGCTGATGTCTCAATAAAAGTTAGTCTACAAAAGTTACTGAAGTATTTCTCTAACATCATTTGGCGATTATAAGAGAAATAGGAACGCGAGTGATAATTCCTCAGTGCAATCAATCACCCACGATCCACACGTATTTAATTTATAGGGTGATTTCAAAGTTGAGTCAATTATTTCAACTGCTTGTAAAAAGGAGTTGATATACAAAAATCACCTATATAAAAGTTGCATAATAAAAGAAACAGTAATAAAAGATTAGGAATTTTAAAAAATGTCATTACATAGATTTTTTGATATTCTCAACCACTGCCGTGTAAAATGTTGACGTTTTTTGTTTACTACTCTTATCGTTTATCTAAATTTGGCAAACCTTTTGTGTAATTGTTATGTTTTTCAGTACGAGGCTTTGGGTCGATCAGTTGTATCTGTCTTTTAATAGTGGGTATACTTTCATTTGTGCAAAAAAATGGCCCATGTTTACAAAGACAATGAACTAGTGGACTACTAACATACTGAGAGTACCAATAAAATGCAGCCGCAGCATGCAAGTTGTATGCAGAAAGGTTTCCTTTAAGAAATCATCAGCCCGGATGTTTGTAAATTTAGTTATTAGACTTTGTGATACACGAAGTCGGTTACAACGGTTCCATCCTGACACTAAAGTGGTGGAGGGCTACTCTGTAAGAAGTTCCTTTAAATCTGCTTGGCCAGCGTCCAGAAAGACTGACTGCCATTGCGCTGCAACATTACCCTGTGCCTAACTTTTATAACGTGCTGGTCTTTAGCACTGCGGACCGTTTCGTTAATTTTGTTTTTGGACTCGACGTCAGCTTGTCTATTCTCTACAGTGGTTTTCTGTGTAACTAAATCTGTAAGTAGGGTTGCAGTGAGGAAGGAAGGAATTATGCAGAAAGCACTAAGTCTGGTTCTGTATATTAGGTTTTTCTGCATTCTGATCATGACCTTGAACTATCTGTAGAGTCAAATTCAGTGCATTTTCGTACTAAATGTTGTATCACTTGGTAGAATTAAATTATTAAGAATACTAAAAATACAAATGGGGTGCATAACATTATCTTCTTTTTAATTTATATCATGTACTGCTATTTTTTATGTGAAATAATAATAGATTTGTAAAATTTAATAAAATACAAGGAAATAAGAAAATTGAATCCAACCCTGGAATTTTGAGTTGTGACAAAACATCCTTAGTGCAATTTTGATTATTATCATATGAAATGAAATGTTGATCAAACCAAGTTGATAACCCTTGAAATTTTAGGTTTTGTGTCACACAAACTGCTCAAAATAAGATATTTGAGTTAATAATTTTTTAACTTTAAACACCTTTAAAGGTGTTGATTTTGACTAAAGACAAAAAAGTGAAAAATTCGGCACTTAATTTTTTAACTGTGTGTTGAGTTTCTCTTTACTCATAGGTAACTTGGTGGTAATTTCAACAAAATCAGTTAAATAGAGCCTGATTTATGTAATCTGCTTAAATTGAATTTAAAACATTTTTAATCTCAGATGTGAAAAGGTCTTGGTCCATACCAATGAATAGATTAGAAGAAGAGAAGGAGGATATTTACATTGCATTGTTTGTTGCCAAAATTGCATAGTTTCAGTGTCTAACCACTTTTATAGATAATTGTATAATTGCTTCCATCACTGTTCTCTTACCTTCACATTTTAAGCCCTGTCGCACCAATCCAAAGAGCATTTCTCCACAAAAGTCACAGAATGTTGGAGTCTTGTATGAATGTACTGAGAGAGCATGTGGCCTCACCACAGTAATATCTGGTATAGAACTTGTGGGAACTAAAATTATAGAAAATGCTTAGAAACCTTATAAGCAAAATATCTAATGAATAGGTACCTTTCCCAGTTAGAACAATTTCTATAAGAGTTTCATCCACAACATCAGATGCAGAATTGACAAGCTGCAAGATATTATTTGAGTTATATGCATGTATGAACAGCAACAGGCGATCTTCTATTTTGTTTATTCCATGATCAGGAATCTGTAAATATTAAAAAGTGACTAATTATTAAATTATTTTATAAAATGCAAACTAAGGAATTGTGAAAAGTTGTAACTCATATTTATTCAAACCTTAAGTATTTCACTGTGACAGTTACATATTTTCTGACACTAGTCTTGCAACACTCTGGCCATGGCACGAACTGGTACCTCATAAATGTATTCAGCATACATGGATAATATTATCTTCACTTTAAAGATACCTTGACAGTCTTAATGAATATTGTAACATATTATGTGCCATTGTTGATTTGATATTCATTCATATTTTATGTTTTTTTTTAATGTCTGTCTGATAATTGAAGCATAAAGTAAGTATAATAAACTATAGCAAGTACCTGCTAGATGGCCGATTATCAATTTCTTACCTTAGAGTTTATGAAATCACATGCCAGTGTTTTGATGGTTTTTAAGTTGAGTGATGATTGCTGAACTGTGATAGCATCTCTGATAAGTCCAAACTGGAACATGAATGTTACCTCTGACCCCCGCTCATCCATCGCAATACCTATCTATTTAGGTTGGCCTATAAACATTCAATTCATGTAACAATGGACTCATGAAAAGATTTTGACTACACCAGTATACCCATAAGCTGATAAATTAGCACAACGCGGGTAACTTCCTCTGAAATATGTTAGCCAGTTTAATGTAATACAAAACAGCATCTTTAAAGAAGTTAACTGTACATACACCCAGGTCCAATTTAAACCACTTTATATAATCCCGTTATCCACACTTACCGAAAATGTAGGAAATCAGCTAACTCGACTAAGATCAAGAACTTTCATTAAGCTACTTACAGAGTACAACTATTTTTTACTTTCCAAATACAAAGCAATATATTAAGATTTATCATAAATATTGTAGAACATTACACACAACCTACATTGTGACCAAAAAACATATATACTGAAGAAGCTTGAATTCCATGTTAATCAAGGGCAACAAGATTGACTTATGTCATTTTCAAGCGGCCATTTTTTAAGTGTGCGTCGTGGTCATCAGAACGTGCATAAATACCAGGCAACGATACGCTCTACACATAAATCTGAAATTGCTATCCTGTTAAATGAAATTTGATAGGATATGGGAGCAATGTCAACAAAAGCTTTTACAAAATCACTCGCATATCTACTGTATTATCTGGAAACATTCAGAACAAAAGCATATGTAGCAAATAAAAAATATAGGCACTTATTATATAAATATCATACATTAATTTATAATACAGTAATAACATCAAGTATGGTTGTTATTTTCATTTACAGTCTTTGTTGGCAACTGGATTTTGTTACATTTTTATAGCTTAAGAAGATTCTAATAAGAATGAATCGAAAGTCAGATATTCTGATAATATATAGTCAACATGCTTGAATCATATATCTTGCACAAAATATGATATATTTTAGTGATTCTGTAAAAATACCTAAATTATTCCTAATCATATTTTGCACTAAACTTTCACATCCTGATTATCAATGTTACGGAAATTTGATTATGTATTCCTGTATTATTTTTCTTATGAAAAACCTGGTAACTCTAGTAAACTTGCAGTTGTTAATGATAACTATGATTTCTTTTTGAAAATATTTTTTTTTCACTAGTTTTTTATACTTTTTTCATTCAGGTGCTACGGAAGGCATTCACCAGAAACGAGAATATATGGACGATGAATATTATTGATAGGTTCATGCTAAAGTTTAGATAAAAATATATTCTCAAGGGAGTTATTACTGAACGTGAAATAAAGCCAGGCACTAATAATTTCTGGTCGCATTTGACATCCAGGCGCAGTAAAACAAAAATAAGACTTGGAACTAATAAAATTAGTGTGCCTGCCAGTTGGCTGTGCAAGACTTGTATCTATTTTCTTCTTTTTTTGTGCGAACAACCTAACCTTTTATAGCAGTTTACGCAGATAAAAGGAATTATACAGGGTGACTTCGAGGTTGAGTCATTTATTTTAACAGTGAGTAGATCTGATCAAAAGAAATGTTTTTTTCCTTTAACATTTTTCTGATACAATTAAAGTAACAAAGTTATAGCCCTTTAGAAGTTTGAGTACCGCCTTGTCTCAATAAAAATATTATGTGCTCGTGTTTGGCAACAACGGATATAATCCGCCTTATCGGTTCATCGCATCGGAAACAAAAAAGCGAAAGAATTTGAAACGATGTTTTTACTACAATTATTATTCAGTTGTATTCAGTCAATGTGTCAGTCGGTAACGCGTGGCTCAAACGAAATAAAAAATGTCATGTCAGAAATTTCGTCATCCTTTCACGGAAATGCAACCAACACCAATAACCACCCAATAACTCTAATTCTTAAACAATTTTAAGATCTACTTGTCATTATTCGTGTAAGGTCGGTATTAATGGTGGATTGCAGTATTTCATTAACTCCCTATTGACCCTGCGGCTTTAAGAGATAAGTGAAGGCTCATTTGTCAAAATAGCAAAAATATGTTAACAGTAGTGGAGTGTAGTTCGCGAACGAACTAGTTCAATCGAACGATTCTTATGATTGAACGAATTCATCATTCATTGAAAAACTCTTTCACTACAAACGACTGACATTACAGGATCTGGATGATCCAATCGAACTATTTGTGGATTACCGAACGAGAACGAGATAGGACACGGAACACAACCGCAAGCTGAAGATTGTATAACTGGTTGCCTAACATATGAGAAAAGGTAACAAATGCAGTTATAAAGGCTGAAAGAAATATAAATTAGCTAGCTTTTATAAAAACAGATCACCTATTGCGGCTCATAAAGAAATTAAAATAATATTGAAATGAAAATGTTGATTCACTACAAATTTCCATTTAAAAACATTTGGGGAAAGTAGAGAATGCAGAACTTAATGCTAAAAAAGACATCAGAGATATATTGCTTATTAAACATCTTGAGAACAGATGAAAATAGAAAACAAAACTGTATGCCACATTGTTTGAGATTGTTAGACCACGTATAAATTTCATAGCTACTATGTAACGGACAATTTATGACTTAAATTTGAAATGCAAATTTTAATAAAAAATCAAAATCCAAAAAAAATCAATAATACAATGTGTTACTCATCGAAACACTAACCGCGCCCGACGTTGCTTAATTCCGGCGATCGGATGAAATATTGACAGGCGATGCTTTCACTGACATTATTCTTGTGTAAAATAGTTCCCTTTAGTGAGCGCAACATATTGAAGTAGTTCACCGAAATGAACGCGTTATAAAAGTTTACATATACGATTAGAAATGCGTACTATAAAACATATACATTGAATGCGCACTCATGAAGCCTTGAAGACCAGAGATAGGAGGTTAAACCCGTGGACTGGGGGTGAAGCCGAAAATGTCGACGATGAAGTGAGTTGGTATACACTGGGCAGCGACTGACTTTCAGGTGCTGTTCATTTCTCACGTGTGAAGACTGACCAGATATATAATATAATAAACCACAAATTAATAAACCAATAAAGCATGGCAAAACGTGAGTGAAGTGCACATAAAGATTGCGGCAGATTATGTTGGCATTTTTCACTGTATAGACGCTCTGTGCCATGTTCTGCGTGCACTAGATTTCCGATGCGTGGCGACAAGATTGAGTTCATACGAATTCATACACGGAGTTTAACCTTATATCTCTAGTCTTCGTGTACGCTCTATAAATTTATACTACACCCACAGATTTATTCAACGAGATGAAAATGTTGTGCATGGCATTTATGTACAATCTGGCAACCATATTGCATACAGAAAAAATGGCGGCTTGACATTGACATAAGTCAATTGTGTTGTCCTATGGATAGCATATGACTGTGCTTTCTTCAGTGTATACTGCATTATGTTTTGTGCCGCCCCGCCAATCCAAAACAAAACAGGGAGATACAAGATATAAATAAGAAATTCATATTTCTGAAGTAATGTCTCAAAAGTTTCATATACGCCTCGCTTCTCAAAGGGTAAATACAAATATTGCGGAAAATCGGAGGTATCCGAAAATATTTACACCTGGAGAAACAATTACACAGCAACACGAGTTCATGAGGGGGCATGGTACTTATGAAGATAATGGGGAACTGAAGTCCTCTGTAGCTGGGGTGCGAGAGCAAGTCAACAATCTCATATCTGTAAAACCTCTTAAAAGTAGATATAATGGAGAAGTGGGCGACATTGTAGTTGGAAGAATAACTGAAGTACAGCAGAAGCGTTGGAAAGTTGACACAAATGCTAGATTAGATTCCATACTTCTACTTTCTTCAGTGAATTTACCAGGTGGAGAATTAAGACGAAGATCAGTTGAAGATGAGCACATGATGAGACAGTACTTACAAGAAGATGATCTGATAAGTGCTGAAGTACAATCTGTGCACTCTGATGGAACATTATCTTTACATACTAGAAGCTTACGATATGGTAAATTAGGACAAGGTGTGCTTTTAAAAGTATTCCCTTCATTAATCAAGAGAAGCAAGACGCATTTTCACAACTTGCCAGTTGGAGCAAGTGTCATATTGGGTAATAATGGTTTCATATGGATTTGTCCTGTGATAAACAATTCTGAAGATAGTGTGGGTGGATTTGTGCAAAACTTGGAGGAAGTAGTACCTTTACAAGAACGAGAGACAATTGGAAGAATCAGGAATTGCATAAAAGCACTTGCAATGTGTAAAATGATGTTGTATGATACCAGCATATTATATGCATACGAAGAGTCTTTGAAATATTCCATTGCAGAATTGCTTGTCCCAGAAGCTATGATAGATGTTGCTATACTAACACAACATAGGCTAAGTATTATTGAAGTGTAAGATTACTCTGTGTTTGGAATATAATGTTTATATTAAACAAATTTATGTTATATTTTTAAACATTTCGATGAAAGAAGGGGGCGTACTGCAATCTTGAATCTAAAAAAGTGATGTATCTGTGAATAGGGTCAATTCCGCTATATTAACCTAACAAAAAAATACCTGATCTTTAAATTCGACGATAATCCAAACCTTTTTTGTTTGAAAGTTTTTGCTGTATCTTTAAAAATAAAGTGGTGGGGGTTATTCTTGGGCTACACATGTTATATTTGAAGTTTTGTTAGTTTCACATGTGGCCGCTAGAGCACTATTTCGACATTCCCAAAAAAATTAAATTCATTGGTATGATTTTTTATGAAAAAGTAGATAAATGTTAAATGATGTCTAAACAAGCTAGCGAAAGCCGCCTCTCGATATCTTGTTCTTAACCTAAAATTTTGGCCAACGAAAATTTTATACGGAAATCCCTTAAATTTTAATTTTTTTAAAATAATTTTTCTGTAATTCTTTTTATTATTAAGTTGTGGCATTAAAAAGGACCGATTAAAAAAGAAAGGTCTTTAATGCCCTTGTAAATGCTCGAAATGCTGACCATTACGCTCTATGCATTCCTGAAGCCTCTCATGGTTAGACAAATCTGCAGCTTCAATTTCTGCTCTCAGTATGTTACATATTGCATTACGAATCCCGGTTTTTCATATCGTCTCTGGTTGTATCTGAAACACGCCTCCATAAATAAAAATCAACATACATTAAGTCTGGTGATCGCGAAGGCCATGGAAACAGACTTCCTCTTCCAATCCACCACTGTTGAAATACTGCATTATTATGCTCTTGCATAATAATAGCAAAATGTGCTGGGCAACCATCCAGTTGCAAAAACAAGTTTTGCCGTGTTTCCAGTGGCACATCTTCCAACAACGGTAATTGATTGCCCAAAAAGTCAACAATGACATTGCCACTTAAGGCTCTCAGTATTTAAACAAATAGTATGCCTTTTGTTTTTAGCATTACTTACCTTTTAGTGATATTTTGTAATATTTACAAAAAGAGTGATTTTATTCTGATGAATTAAAAATAATTCCAGAAAAATTAGTTTAAAAAAATAGAAATTTTACGGATTTCCGTATAAAATTTTCGTTGGCGAAGACATCGAGATGCGGTTTTTCACAAGCTTGATTAGACATCATTTAGCCACTTTTTCATGAAAAAATCATACGAATGCATTTAATTCCTTTGCGAAAATTAACCATTTCTGTTGGAAAGTCGAAAAAGCCCTCAAGCGGCCACATGTGAAAATAATAAAACTTCATATATCATAACATTGTTTGTGACATGCAGCATATGTAATTTCTAGGATGAATAAGGAAAAGTAATTTCTAGGTTTGCTTACATTTCATGTATTTAGCAATGCAATTATCATGAACACATATTATTAGCACACAAATCCTCACTAAGCACCTATGCACTGCCATTTCGCCCGTTTCCTTCCAGCTATAGTATACAATTTACAGCTTAGACCTCCAATAATGCCATCTCTGAAGTATATGGTTACATCACATATCAGAGCCAAACCATGATAGCTCAAGCGTCATGACGGTCAGGACCGACCCAGTTTTAATCACCTCCAGAAAAAGAGACAAACTTAGAATTCTATATTCAAAATCGAAATGTCCCATTTTTTACACTAATTGTTGAATAAGTATAGTGAGATATGGTTACATCGAAATTAACTAAGTCTAAATACTCCCATGAAATCATGGTTTCTAGCATACATAATTACATACAAAAGTACATTGATACAGTGAGCTCATTTCTTCGAACTGCCCTCCTCACTAACATCTGAAAAAAAATAGACAATTAGTCATTGTTTAATCGTCTAACCATATTAGACAAAAAAAGACTGGTTCGCAAAACATTTGTAATGCTGGTTTTAAGGATGTAAGTTACTTAGGAAGTATTTATCAGCGCATACAATGGGTAAACTAATTTTTGCAGGAAAACTTTATGCACGGCGTTAATTACGTACGTGGCCAAACTTCAGGAGGTGACTAAGTTATTTTAAGTTGAAAACTTTATATAAACATAGGTCTAGAAATGCTTCATTTTCAAGATAGAGGGAGTCAAACTCAAAATCGGTTTTTCTTAAATAGCTTAATAAACTTTCAGTCAATTTTGTTCAAATTTAGCAGTAAGGGGCTAATTTAGCCCCAATTAGATTGAAATTATTGAGTCCAGTAGGGTCCCGAAAAACACCCTAACCAGTATAATTGACAAAATATTTGTGCGCCACTAACTTTTTCCAATTTTTTCCGAATTAAGCAGCTAAAAATACAACTTTTTTGTCTCCGGAGTTTCTTTCATATTTCGTTTTGTTTGCGAGATGAAAAATAAAAAGCACTTTATTGCACGTTTTCGATAAATTACACGAAAGTCGTCCTTTGTTTTTTTGCCCAGATTATACCTGCTTTCGATAAAAGAAATAAACAAAATATTTGCGTAGCGTAATTTATTGTTGCAATGTTTTGCCAGTGGCATTGCTTATTTGTAACGCTGGAAATAAAAAAAAATCGAACCGGATAAATGTATTTTTAAAACTAGACAAACTTTTATTTCAATGAAAACATTTAACAGTGAATAACACTAAACATAATAGTTGCTGAAAATGCCCTCCTTCAGCCTGAATGCAAGCATTAGCTCGTTTTAACATTGATTGCTGAACTCGTTGAAATATTCCTGGAGTATGACTTATCTGATCACATGAATCTCGCATCTGTTGGGTTAATTCTTCTTCAGTGTTGACTGGAGTTTTTTAAATGAGGGACTGTAAATGCCCCCAAAGAAAAAATCAAACAGATTTAATTCCAGTGACCTGGGTAGCCATGACTGTGGACCTGCGTGCCCGATCCAGTTTTCTCCAAAACTTGCATCCAAAAAATGGTGAGCTGCTATGCTGAAGTGAGGTGGAGCTCCATTGGACATAAACCATATTGCCCCTCATACTTCCAGCGGGGCATTTTATAGTAGATCAGGTAAAATAAATTCTCTCATCATCTTTTTTATGAAAATACATGTGATACAGCTCAACATAAAAAATAAGCTACTCTAGAAGATGGTCAACATTGACTTAAAATTTAACGAAATCAAGCAACTGATTTCAATAAAAATATGCTTTTTTTGATGATGCTTTATTTTCTTAGAGAACATATTAGGAATGTTCGAGAAATGTATACAGGTATGAGCTCAGACTTTTGCATATATCTCTGATTTACACAAATTGGCCAAGTAACTTAATTCTTGGCAAAACCAAGTACTCTGTAAAATAGGCTAGGGAGCAGGTAAAATCAGAGTACTCAGTGTACCTCTAATAAACACTGCCCTGAACAACTTGCATCAATAAAACCTACTATTATAATTACTTCATGGAAATTGCTACAATTAGAGTATAAGTTATGAAAGGAGATACTTACTTTTACCATCACAGGCAACAATTTTCACCTTATCTATTTTTGTGATCTCTTGTACTTCTCTAAATTCAGCATCATTGAGCATGAAGGTCCACACATTATCACAGAAACGGTATGTATTAAGTTTTCCAGCCTTAAATGTTATCCTTGACTTAACCCTGGTAGCTAAAGTTTGATTAATGGATCTGTCGAACTGGAGAAGCACCCTGCCCGCTAGCTGTGGTGTTATTTGGCCGTACTGCAGAAAAAACAATATATATTTTCTACAAATGGAAAATCTATTCAATGTTACTTGTATGAGTTCATCTAGACTCTCTTGAAGAGTGTGTCCCAAGGTGGTGTTTCTGTATAGCTGATAAGACATTTTAATGTGTTTCCTTGGATAATTAATATCACATTAATATCCAAATTTCTAAAAAATAAACCTGTCTAACCACCTTAATCAAAAATCCACAAAACATATACAGTATACACCAGATCTATAGACTGAAACTACAAAACATAATATACCTACCACAAAAAATATACAACACAAAACACATGCACTGAAGAAGGTATAGTCCGTGCTGTCCATTGGGCAACACGGTTGACTTATGTCAATGTCAAATACCATTTTTTTTGATGTGACATGGTTGCCAGATTGCACATAAAGTTACACACAACGCTGCCAGCTTCTCGCATATATCCGAGGCTGTTGTAATTTTAAGTGGCATTTTTATTCGTATCTGGAAGATTTTATAATGCGAATGCAAACAGGGAAGCTATTAATTGTAAAATTATTGCTCTGAGAGAAAATGTGATAGTTTGGATACTGCTTTAAGTGGAGTTGGCACGAATTGTTGCGCTACTTTGGAAAATATACGTTGACATCAGGGATGAAACCGATACTGGAGAAGAAAATAAGAACTAAAGGCTTTTGAAGGTCATTGCAGACGTTAGACTGACTCAATGTGTGAAGTCACTTACTGCCCAGGTTTTCAATCTTACGAGTATTATTAATAAATCAGTTGAAAATGTTGTCAATTCTTCCAAAACAGCAAACCGTAGTCATGTCATTCGAGTGACCTACATACCGACACTGATGAGGACATACAGGATGATCTTTTCACACTTGCCCGACGTCTCAAAATGGAACTGCCTAAAACAGAACTTTCTCCGCTCCCAATGAAGGGAAAGACCTGCACCAGCATCTACACAGAATGCTCCTCCTGTTGTACCCCATGTACAGTCTGCTCTATTGACTGGCAGCAACGTCAATTCCTTGCCATCTAGCGCAGCTCTAAACACACAGGCCCAATCGCCTCGCCAGGGGCGAATTACGCCAATCGTGTTGGGAGATGAGACAAAATGGTACAATTTAAACTATTCCTCCAGAAGTCTTGCTATTCGTGTTGACCGAGCAGCCGCCACTGACTCTGGGATACGTATTATCCCCAAAACCGAACACGGTTATCGCAAGGTAATCCGTCTTTTCAAAGAGGAAAACGTTCCTCATCACAGTTTTCCCCTGCCCACCAAGCGCAACATCCATGCGGTTATCAGGGGGAACCTAACGTGCACTACCGAACAAAAGGTGAAAGATGAGCTAGAACAGAATGGTTATGCCACCTTCACATCATTCGCTTAAAGCGCAACGGCCCATGCTCTTGCTGGATGCGATCCTGCCGGAGAAGTCACAGCATTGAGTACAAATGAGTACGATTTTTTTTACACCGAAGCAGTCGTTCAGGCAGGAGCCTAAATGCCAGTACACCGCGGCTTCTACGAGGATCCTAAAGAAAGTTTGTTAATCCGATTTTTGAACTTCCTAAGGTTAGTAAAGCTGGGAAAAGTCTCGTGTGGGCCTTTTGATATAGTAAGGAGGTCATGCCGAGAAAAGTACTTCTTAGCCCTAAACAAATAACCTAGCTTTTTCCTAGCAGCTGCTGCAGTTGATGAGATGTGTTTGTGCCAGATCAAGTCCGAGGTGATAGGGACTCCGACCAGGCGGAATGAACAGCTCTTTGTCATAACTCGGCCATCCATCGAAATTGGATGAGCGCTAGGACGCGAATAGTCCTACCTGTAGATTTACTTCTAGGATAAATGTAAAGTCATAGCACAAAGGCGAGCAAGGTCATATGCGGACTCAGCAAAAGTTGACACCTTGGCTGCCCTTGCTAGTCCATGACTTATTTCGTGACAATAATCAATGCCATGCTAGGGACCCAGTACTTGCCATCGGTGTGGAAGACTGCGGAGGTTATAATGGTTCCAAAGAAGGTGGGTTCGATTTTCCCCCAGGATTATCGTCCCATTAGCGTGCTGACAGCTCCATTTAAGCTCGCTGAAAAGGGAATTCTACGTCACCTTGAGAATTTCTTGTCAGATCACCAAGCGATTCCTGACGTGCAATTTGGCTTTCTGTCTGAGCATAGTACGGAGTTACAGGCGGTTAGGCTTGAGAAGCGAGTAACCACGGGCCTCACTTTTAACGAAAGTACTGGCATCTTGCTTCTGGATGTCTTGAAGGTATTTGTCAAGGTGTAGAACAAGGACCTTCTTTATAAGCTAAAGGAAAAGGGCTTTCCATTTTGGCTCCTAAAACTTTTGAAATTCTTTTTTGAAGGTAGGAAATTTTGGATCAAAATTAATAATGTCTTGTCGACAGAGCGGCCTATAAGAGTCGAAGTCCCTCAGGGTTCGGTTCTCGGACCAATTTTGTATTTACTTTTTACTCATGACGTCCCCCATAGGGTTTAATGCATAATATGATGAAATTTTAAGCACAGGTGGTTTCTGTTTGGCTTCTAGGTTTTTTGAGACATAAGTAATATTTTTTTTAATATTTTTAATTTTATGGGTTCAGAAACAAATTTAACGAAGTGATCCGCAATGCCAAAGACCAGCACGATACAAAAGTTAGGCACAGGGTAATGTTGCAGCGCAATGGCAGTTGGTCTTTCTGGGCGTTGGTCAAGCAGATTGAATGGAACTTCTCACAAACTTACGAGTCAGGGTGGAAGATTGCAACCGACTCTAATACTAAGGCAACAGTGCTTGCCAAGATCCACAGCTTTGTTGATGACATCTCTTTAGAAACAGGAATTCAGAGCGCCAAGCCGATCTCTGCCGGTGAGATGGAAAAAGGAAGACTAGCAGCGACTTCCTAACTGACGAGGGACCTCTAGGTTATCATGTAGGTTGGGGACGAAACAATCTTGTACAGTTTAATGCTTTCAAAGCACAGTACTGTACCTTGACGAACAAAAAGCGTCCTAGCGCTCATCCGGTTTCGAAGAATGGCCGCGTTCTGCCAAAGGACCGCTCATTTCGGTTAGTCGGAGTTCAGATCTTCGAGGATTTGATCTGGCACGAACACATGTCGTAAATAGCAGCAGCTGCTGGGAAAAAGCATTTATTTGTTTAGGGCTAAGAAGTATTTTAATCAGAATGACCTCCTCACTCTATACAAGGCCCTGGCAAGACATATCCTCAAGTATTGCTCACACGTTTAGTGTGCTGCGGCTCCGACTACATGATATATGCTCGATGCTGAGCTGTCCGGCTGATCGATGACTCTTCACGAACAGACAGTCTCGGACCCTTTCGCACCGGCGGGCCGATGGCAATCTAGCTCTCTTCTACCGCTACACCAACAAGCATTGCTCCTCAGAGCTCCCCTTCATAATGATGCCGCGCGATGTGGCTGCTAGGCAGACCCGCCTGACTTTGGCCTCCCACCCTAACCGTGTCGAACTTCGTACATCCAGAACAGACCGATATGACCGCTCCTTTGTCCCAAGGATGTCTAGATTGTGAAACAATCTACAAAATGAGGCTTCCTTTCCTCTTTGCTTAAATTTTGTCGAAGTACAGGGTGACTTTGAAGTTGAGTAATTAATTTTCAGATAATGATTGTAGAAGGAAGATAAACCAAAATATGTGTGTAAAAAAAATTAAAAAAATTTGTTTACCTTGTTTTATAAAGTATCCTCCCGACAAGTATTTCAGTGCGGACCTGTATTTGATCGTGAGGTCTTGGAGCACCGGCATGCAGTCCCTTGTGAGGTCTTAAGTCACCTGATTCACGAGCCCGTTGTACTACATTAACAAAGGCACGAGGGGTTGGTTGCACTCGATTGTGAAACCGATCCGCATAAATATGTGGCATTTTTTATTTCGTTTGAGCCACGCAGCAATCACCACTATTCACTCACGCGTTACCGACTGACACAGACTGAATAAAAACATCGTGATCAGCGTTTCAAACTCTTTCGCTTTTTTGTTTCCGATGCGATGAACCGATAAGGCGGAGTATATCCGTTATCGCCAAACACGAGCACATAATATTATTATTGAGACAGGGCGGTACTCAAACTTCTAAAGGGCTATAACTTTGTTACTTTAATTTTACCACAAAAATGTTAAAGAAAAAAAACATTTCTTTTGATCAGATCTACTCACTGTTAAAATAAATGACTTCAACTGTATATATATATACAGGGTGGCGCATCGAAAACGAAACAGACGCATTTACTGGCAGCTCAGCTTTTTTTGGAAAAACGCTCAGACACGTCGATTTTGTTTTTGAGGGGGACATAAGTTTGGCAAAAAATCACGTTAGCACGCGCAGCTCCCTAAGCGGGGGTGACACCACCCCAAAATCTTAAATGGAAAGGGGGGTCGAGTGATACCTTATTTTAAAGGTCTTTCAATTCCCTTTATAATAATATAAAATTAATGTACTTCAGTTCAGTAGTTTTGAAGATTTATTGATTTAAAGCTTAAATAAAACTAATACATCATCATTAGTGGAGATCAATACATTTGGCAGCAAAGTAATTTAAAAATGAAGAATGAACTGACCCGTTAGGCAAGTAAATGTTGAAAATGGCCACCTTGATTCTCCATGCAATAATAAATATTTTGCTCAAAACGTTGCCGCACATTTTGCAATATTTGAGGAGTAATTTGAAGACACTCATTCATAATTCTTTGTTGCAGGTCTTCTAATGATGTTGGCTGAATAGCATAGATTTTGCTTTTTAAATAACCCCACATAAAGAAATCCAAAGGTGATAAATCTGACGATCTTGTGGGCCATTCAATGACACCTATTCTACAAATCCATCGATCTGGAAGCGTCTGATCTAAATATTGTCGAACACGTAATGCGTAATATGGTGAGGCACCATCCTGTTGGAACATCAACCTATTCGCAATGTACCGCCGATCATTCTGATTTTCAATTATGGCTGTTAATGCAGGATCTATGGCGTCTTCCAGTAATTCCAAATACATTTCATCGGTCAAATTTCCAGGTAAGAAAAAAGGCCCAACTAAATGATCGCCAAAAATACCAGCCCAAACATTTAATTTTTGTGCTGCTGTGTATGAACCTCATGATAAATTCAGGGATTGGAATCGGACCAATATCGGCAGTTATGACGATTTACTACGCCATTTAAGAAAAAGGATCATTCATCGGAAAAGCAAGTGTTGAATAGAAAATGTTCATCGTTTATAATTCGTTCACTCATATCTTCACAAAATTGTAATCGCCGATCAAAATCGTCTTCATTAAGTTCTTGTACCAGGTGAATTTTATACGGATGAAAACTATGGGCCTTTAGAATCCGTTGGACAGTACGTCGACTAACACCACACAGTCTCCAATTTGCGGGTACTTAACGTAGGATCTACATAAACTTGCGCTAAAACCCCCACTTCTATTGCTTCGTTCCTTATGGGATTTTCAATGTTGCGTTTTTTATTGGCGACTGACCCAGTTTCCCGAAATTTAGCTACAAGTTCTAGAACATATTTTTGATGCACGTTACTTTTCTCATGTCGCTCATTAAATATTTCTGCTGTTCTATTAGCGCACTGATTATTTCCGAAAAATAGTTCGATAATTTCAACTCTTTCTGCTGTGGAATATACCATAGTTAATTTAGGTAATAAAGGGTTACAAGTTATTTTAGCATCAAAGTTTGGTCAAATCAATCGCAAACTATGTACTACTAAATTCCTATTTAAAATAAGTACGAGATATTTCCTTATCTTTCTTCAAGAAATAACTTTTTTGCCACAAAAAAACGCTCCAATAGCTATTTTCAACAACAAAATGATAAAAAACCATGGGCGTAGTGAAGAAAAGCATTTACTTATTAAGTAAATTCTTTTAGTCAAATTTCTTCTGAAAGTAGTACAAACTAATCTGATGTACCTATTAAAGTCTACTTTAAGCTTTAAATTAATAAATCTTAAATCTTAAAATAAGGTATCACTCGACCCCCCTTTCCATTTAAGATTTTAGGGTTGGTGTCACCCCTGCCCAGGGGCTGCACGTGTTAACGTGATTTTTTGCCAAACTTGTGTCCCCCTCGAAAACAAAATCGACGGGTCTGAGCGTTTTTCCAAAAAAAAAAACTGAGCTGCCAGTAAATGCGTCTGTTTCGTTTTCAATGCGCCACCCGGTATATATATATATGTGAGCAGTAGTCATTGCCATATATATATATATATATATATAAATTAATGCATCTTAATAAGGAATTGGTGTAACATATTGGCAACGCGGCACATTGCCGCATCAGGGTTGCGGGGCATCGTGGTGATAAGCTTCGCTATCCAGCCGGCTTCTATCTCTTTCTAACATATGTGTCTATAGATACTTCTCTCCCGTACACATTGAACTCAAGCCGTCAGACAAATGTGGTTCTCAGTGTAGATAATCTTGTTATACATCATTTCCTCAAATACCACCAACAGAAATCTCAGCTGCTTCAGAAAACATATAATTATATAACTACATTTATTCAATTTGAAATATATAATATAGTCTGTACTGATAAAATTGATATATAATACACAATTAAATTCGTGCATAGTCTAAACAGTGTTTACCCCTTACAATGAACATAAAATTGGTACCATCCTTAGATGAAAGAAAATATAAAAATGTCTTACTATAAAATCGTTTAGCTAATAGTCATATTGACGCATTAATTTTTTAATAAATACGCTCGATTTCTTGAATTCTTCTAAACTTTCATAGTCTTCAGGCCACGTGACGTTTTCCTCCACTATACTTCCTGGGGAAGGCGATATTATGTCATCTGGATTGGACTCAACAGCTGTAAATTGCTGTTGCATTTCTGAAATAAAAAAATGATTACTTTAGTGGCAATTAGTGAGAATTGAAAAACATTTTCAAAATACCCGCCTACCTCAGAAGGGATACGTTTTTACTGCAATATGTACTGATAGAATTAATTTGCCATATCGACAGCTCGGATTAGAATTGAACCAGCCTGGACGATCAAAAGAGCTACTTCAGTACATAATATTGTAGCAGATTTATTATACTATAAGTAAATATACGCTGGAAAATAGACAACCTATTGAGGTTGTGTAGTTTCAACTTGTGGTTTAAAACACGAGGCATAACAACAAGGTACCATAACCAAAACATAACTTAAAGGGTTAAACATTCAATATATCTACTGGAATGGCAGAATTTGAGAATTAATTTTGTAGCCCTGATAGATACATATGCCGATTACACAATCAACATCAATTATTTATCTACGACCTGGCGGTAAATTGTACTATGTGGATAGGCTTTTTGAACGTTAAATCTACTCCCCGAGCAGACATCGCATAATATTCGTTGCTGACACGACCGGTCAATTCTTCATATTTTTAATTTTCAAAGCTCAACGCCATAAATGCATAAATAACTATTAGTGCCTTTTGATCTAACTTTTAAATAAAATTTTGGCAGCTAGAGACCATTGGCAGTATCTGAACTGTAAAAAGCGCACCATAAGAAGAATTTCGTGCCAGTGTGTTTTTGTACCCCAAAATTAAAAGTTTAAATGGAATATGTGTTTTTTCACCATTCTGCATATGTTCTATATAAGAATTTAGACAGGCAATATACAATTTAACAAATCTTGTGTGAAAACAAATCAATTAGCAGATTGTCGCTTCAATAGGTAGTTACGACTAGTAGTGCTGACGATAGGCGCCGGTAAATACTAAAACATACCCATTGTTTACTGCGAACTGGAAATCGCCGAATTTGCAAATCTATAAATATAGTACCAGCCTTAATAACAATTACATGATAAACCGAACTTGCCTGTAAGTGATGTTCGATCTTAATTATGTGAAGTCCTCGTCGAATTAAATATTTAGAATACATATTGTAGTACCATCGTGGTTGTACCAAACCCCCACGAGTTAAAAGCGTGCACGCAGCGAAGAAAAGCGGCACCGCGCCCCTTGGCCTACCTTCCACCCATCAAGAATTGGAAGATAAAATTATGGAAAAATTTTGCGAGTTGGAAAAACGGATTTTAGAAATTTTGAAGGACAGAATTCAAGAAGTGCAAGGCAAGTTTGCTGCTTTAGACGTCAAGACCACCGAGGAACGACAGCGTGGACTGCCGTTGGAAAAACCGAGTGAGGTTGGAGCTTCTGTTGGGTCAGCTGGTCATCTACGAATGAAACCGCCGCAATTTTATGGTACAATGCCTTGGAATGTCTACCGACGTCAGTTTGAGGCAGCCGCGAATGCAAATGGTTGGTCATCGACCGAAAAGGCAACTGCACTCACTTTGGCCCTACGAGGAGATGCTACAGTTATACTTCAAAGAATATCACCTGAAGAGCAAGAGGTCTACGAACAACTAGTAGGACATTTGGAGATGCGATATGGCCAGTCACATCAGGAAAACTAAGGGAGGTCGATGTGAAGGGGCTATCGTCGACCTCTAGCCAAAAAGACCCATCAGTTAATACCGTCTCCTCGCTTTAACATCAGTCTAATAATGTTTTTGTCGATGCTTTTGTGGATAGGACCCTCCACACCGTACTGCTGGATGCAGGTGCGACAAAGAATATCATAAGGCCCGACATGGTGAAAGCATCGGTGAAGTTTTGACCATCCAAATGGCGACTAAGAACGGCGACGGGAGAGCGAACATGTACGGTGAAGTAAACATCGCATTTGGAATAGGAAAAGCTATATTTGAACATCCGGCGATAGTATGGACATCATGGACACAAAGGACCTCGAGTTGAACTTTAAGCAAGGAATCTTGAGAGTCAACATCGGAAAAGGAATAGAAACGTACGAGTTCTATTGCCTGAAGACACCGTGACCCCGGAACGAATCGAAGCTATTTTGACTCGCTTTGTAGAGGGCCAGACTCCAGATGGAGAAATAGTCATGTTTGAAAATAGGATGCATGACGAGGCTTTTGACCGAGGGATAGAACATGCAAAGGTCCTGGTGCGATAAAACTATTCCTGTGACACTAATGAACGTCAGTCAGTACCCTGTGTCATTGAAGAAAGGCTCGGAGCAGGGACACTGCTGTCCAGTTGGGCCAACCATTAGATATGCCAGCTGTGTCAAACTCAGGGGTCATTCCGAAGGAACTGGAAGAACTAATATCGCAATCAGGCAGAGATCTAAGGCCAGACCAAAGAAAGAAACTGAAACATCTAATACATAGATATCGGGATATATTCGATACTGGACAGAAAGGAAGAACCAATATAGTTCAGCACAAGATCAATACGGAAAATGCCCGCCCCATCCGGCAGATGGCAAGAAGGCTCCCACTTGCTAAAAGAGAGGAGGCTGACAAGATCGTAGACAGTATGGCCAACGAGGGAATCATTGAACCGTCCAACAGTCCATTGGCCTCACCGGTAGTTTTGGTTAAAAAGAAAGATGGTTCAACCAGATTTTGTGTGGACTACCGAATGTTGAACAACGTGCCCAAGAAGGACAGCTAGCCTCTACCGTGTATTGATGACATTCTGGATACCCGATACCCTAGCTGGATCAAAAATGTTTTCCATCCTAGACCTAAAAAGCCGATACTGGCAAGTAGAATAGGCCCCTGAAGATCGGCAGAAGACAGCATTCACGGTGGCATTCGGCCTGTGCAATGCTCCTGCCACCTTTGAAAGGCTGAAGGACACGATTCTAAGAGGACTATCCTGGAAAACTTGCGCTCCTATACTCAGCTATCTGCCAGAAGGAAAGTTTGTGTTAGTCATTGATGCTAGCAATGTGGGTATAGGTGCGCTGTATTATCCCAAGTCCAGGAAAACAAAGAAGAGAAGGTCATTGGATATTTTAGCAAAACACTGCCCAAACCAGAGCGTAACTATTGCGTAACCCGGAGGGAGCTGCTGGCCGTCGTAAAGGCAATGGAACATTTCAACAAATATGCCACGCAGCTATAAAATTGCTTCTCCAGTTTAAGAATCCAGAGGGTCAAGTTGCAAGATGGATAGAGAGGCTGCAAGAGTTTGACTTCGATATCGAACATCGAGCGGGAAAAATCCATGGAAATGCAGATGCCTTATCGAGGAGACCCTGTTTAGAGGATTGTAAGCATTTCCAGCGGGCAGAGGATAAAGACGCCCATGTATTAAGAACCACTGTCGTTAGTGATACTTGGCAAAATGAAGCCCCGTTGAAGATCAAGGGTGTTCCCCTACCATAAAATCATATTGGGCACAATGGAATTCTCTCGTTATGGACGACGGACTCTTACTGCGTAAAATGGTGGACCACGATGGCAAGGAGGAAAGAAGACACATCGTTATCCCCAGATGTTGGAATCCGGAGCTGCTAGAAGAAATCCATCTCGCTGTGTCAGGAGGTCATTTCGGAGTTACAAAAACCCTGGGAAAAGTGAGGGAAAGATTCTGCTGGGTCAAAAGCAAGGAGGACGTGAAAGACTGATGCAGGAAATGCGTTGTGTGTGAGGCAAGTAATGGACCGCAAAGTAAACCAAAAGCTTCGATGCGCCAATACAACGTGGGGAGCCCCTTTGAAAAGATTGCTATTGATGTGGCGGGACCCTTTCCAGAAAGTGCAGCAGGGAATAAGTACATCATTGTGGCTAGCCGTCAAAGAGACTGGGATAGTTTTCTTCACCTCTTCTTATTGGCTTACCGATCGTCGATTCATGAAAGCACAGGAGAGACCCCGGCTCGAACAGTTAGGGGAAGAGAACTTCGTCTCCCATGCGATCTAAAGTTTGGATGTCCACCAGGAACTGATATTGCCGGAGAAGACTACGTAAGTGAGCTGCGTAGAAGAATAGACGCCATCCATAGCCAGGTTCGTGTTCCAATTCAAGGTGCCAGCGACCGGATGAAGGAAGCTTATGACGTTAATGTTGGTGTCAAAAGTTATGTTGGCAAATCCTCGTTCAATAGACTCTCTTACGATAAGGATTATGCTTTTGAATCAGTGAGGGACCCAATACCTAAGCATTGCTGACAGAATTGATGGCAGGAGGATTGCCAATTTGGGCCATATTTTGTCGTAGTAACATAAAGTGTGCAATCATTGGAGGAAATCTACAATGGGTAGGATGGACTTCGTGAAAGAAACAATCAGAGGTCATGTCATAAAGTTACATTTTTTGGGAAAATTGCAAGAAAGCTATGGTTATATAATCAGAGCCAAACAATAACACGAAAAAAACCGTCAATTATGCAGCAGGTATGTTGTATACAGGGTTATCCAAATTAAGTGTCCACCATTAGTAACTTTGTTATTAGTGAAAATACAAAGTTGTTTGAATTAGCAAACTAGTAGCATTTTTAACGCTGGTAAAAATGAGAAATAAAAAAAAACAATTGAGAGTCGTTATTTTGATTTTTTTCAGTAAAATAACATTTTTTTAAATGGAAACCCCTGTATATTATATTTTTTTCTGTTAAAGCATTAAATTTTAAACAAAAAAGTTCATAATGACTTTTCCGCTAAAGTCAAAAATAAAGTCAAAATAACGATAAATATTTTTAATTATTTGCAGTATTATAATATTAAGACGGCTATGAAAACAACATGGCGTTCGCGATTTGACAGCATTAAGATAAGCGACAAATTGTTAAACTGGACATACTCGCAACTAGAAGGCTTTGGAAAACAATGATAAAATCAAATAATGTCAAACATTAGTGTAAATACTTGTTTATAAGCTTTATTGTGTCATTAATTTAAAGAAAAATGTTCTCCCATGAAGAAAAGTGTGATATGTTAGAATGCTATTTAGTGTGCAGAAAATCCTCCTTGAGAGCAAGAGAATACTACAGTGAATTATATCCCGCTCGCATTCAACCGTATGAACGATATTTTCTGAGACTTTATCGAAAATTTAGGGGCAACGAAAATGTTTTTGCTAAAACAAGGGCAAAAAAAAGAATTCATAATAAGCGAGGCCACGGAAATTGCAGTTATTGGATATTTTGAAGCTTATCGTGAGAATTCAATAGCAGATATTCTCAAGGACTCTAATTTCAGTTATGGTACTGTTCAAAGGATTTTAAAAAAATACAAATTTATTCCGTATAAGTACCGACCAGTTCAAACGCTTTTGGCAGGGGATCCAGAGAGAAGACTTGTTTTTTGCCATTGGTATCTTAGCTTCTGTCGCCAAAATGTAAATAACTTTCGTTACCTTTTATGGACAGATGAATCAAATTTTTCAAATTCTGGAATGTTTAATAGAAAAAACCACCATTATTGGTCAAGAGAAAATCTTTTGTTAGTACATCCAAGAGGCCCACAAGTCCGTTTCAGTTTCAACGTTTGGTGCGGTATAATTGGTTCAAAAATTGTTGGCCCGTTCTTTTATGAGGGAACCCTAACTGGTGAAAGATATGTGGAATTTATGTCAGAAATTCTGACTAATTTCTTAGACGAATTGGATCTTATAAGTAGACATCATCTGCATTTTCAGCAAGATGGCGCACCTGCCCACAACTCCAGAGGTACTTATCATTTTCTAAGTACTACTTTTAATGATCAGTGGATAGGAACAAATGGCCCAATACAGTGGCCTCCCAGATCACCAGATCTAAACCCACTTGATTACTTCTTGTGGGGTTACTTAAAGAACCAAATTTACAAGCGAAGGTACGATAACCTTGACGCGTTAAAGACTGCAGTTAGGGAAAAGATAACCCAGATAGATGGTAGGACCATACTTAAGACAGTTTAATTGTTTCAGATTGGAGGCCATAACTTCAACAATTTGTAACCTAGGAGAAAAGTTATTGTAAGCTTTTTTGTTTAAAATTTGATGCTTTAACAGAAAAAAATATAATATACAGGGGTTTCCATTTAAAAAAATGTTATTTTACTGAAAAAAATCAAAATAACGACTCTCAATTGTTTTTTTTATTTCTCATTTTTACCAGCGTTAAAAATGCTACTAGTTTGCTAATTCAAACAACTTTGTATTTTCACTAATAACAAAGTTACTAATGGTGGACACTTAATTTGGATAACCCTGTATAGGATAGCTTATGGAAAACAAAAAGAAGTTATACAAAAAAGAATATGTATTAGTTCATATGATACTTGCATAGATGTATGGCAACATTTTTATATGCTACTTTAATCAAAGGTTCAATGCTTGAGGGGAACTTTACTTTAGCTAATTAATAGCTACACTCATCACAACTTCATGATTAGTCCTTACAACTGTGAATATTTCTATATTATGGAGATAAGTATTCTCATTAGAGTAATGCACTTAATAATTTTCAAGGTATGTACTCTGTACTTGTCAAGTATTGTATTTTAGTTTTTTTTTTAATTTTGGCGTAACGTGAACAACATATCATTTAGGTTGTTTTCGAATAATACTTTGGTCTTTGGTGTTTCTGTCTTAAGGTATTTTAATCATAACTGTTTTTTTTCAAGACAAAAACTCTGCACTAAGATTATTATTACTCAAAACCATGAAATAAAATAAAATGAAAATTATCGGTGAAATAACCTAAAGGGGCGTTTTCCTAGCGACGGGTTTTTTGCGTCGTGGTCAACGTGATACGTTGAGCGTTTTACGTCGAGCACTTCTTCCTCGAAATTTAATGGGAGTGTTTTCCTAAACGGCGCATCACGTCAGCGTGGAACGTAAAACGTCGACGGAATAGATCCGACTGCTTTCGGAGGAGTCTATTCCGTTGTACGCTGCGTGATTTGCTTTGAGCGCACGTGCTACATTGAGGTTAGGAAGCGTGTTATCTTGTGTATACTGCTGTAAAAAATGTCACAAAGTTCTGTGAAACTACCAACGGTGAAATTTTCTGCCGATGATGACGAAGTACTCAATGAATTTGTACAGAACCATACAATATTGTATGACATGAAAGACCCGGACTTCAAGAACACATTAAAAAAAGACCTCATTTGGATTGAAGCTGGAAAAGTTTTGAATAAAGAAGGTACGTTTCTTAAACCGTTTTAGTATGATATTTATTGTTATTATAAGTATTAGTAACAGTAGGTTGAATAATGTAAATTATATTGTTCTAAAATAATACGGTAAGTCAACAAGATTTTCAAACGGGTAGATATAGGGATTGATTTATAGAATAACCTCTTGAAACTGTAGTTATATAACAGTAGGTAGTGCTTTTAATGTGAGGGAATGCATCACTGCGGACTGAAGTAATTAGTGAGCTGCCTCCTCACTTCAAATCCTTCAGCCCCCGCAAAACCACCTGTACCTGCTAGATTGATAAGGTTTTGGGTTGGGAAGCCCTCCAGATTTGGCGTTATATCTACTTTTGTAGGATTCAATGATAAATAATCATCCCTCAGCATGTTGTGTAAACTGCAGCACACTACAATAATCGAGTCAACAGTTTCAGTTTTCAAATTTATTGAAGTAAAAAAAATTCTGAAAATGGTGCTCATGATGCCAAAAGCGTTTTCAGAAGTTCTTCTGGCTTTGCTGAGGCAGAAGTTGAACTTTCTTTTCTTTTCATCGTGCAATATTTGTGCTCTGGGATAAGGCTTCATCATATGTTCACTCAAACTGAATGCATCATCACCAACTACTACGTGAGGTAGCAAGGTGTGAGAGTTTGGTAGGTATTTTGGAGGTGGAAACATGGTTCCATTCTTCACTAACTCTCCCATTTTGGACTTTTTGAAAATCCCTGCATCACCCTCCTTTCCATACGATCCCACATCAATAATGAGAAACTTGCAGTTTGCATCAACCATTGCAAGAAGCACCACAGAATAATATCCCTTGTAGTTAAAGTAGAGACTTCCCGATTTGGCTGGTGCTACAATTCTCACATGTTTGCCATCAATGGAAGCTATACAGTTGGGAAAACTCCAACGTTTCCAAAACTCGTCTGCCTTCTGTGCCCAGTGTATCTCTTCAGGCGGAGGTAAAAAAAGTGGAACAAGCTTTGTCTGTAGAGCAGCTAACACCTTGGGCACGATCTTGCTTATTGCAGAGTGTGAGATGCGGTAGCCAAATGAAAGTGATCTGTACGATTCCCCTGTGGCCAGAAACCTGAAACAAATTTGAAAAATCTTTGAAATAACCAACACATATTAGGTAGTGATATTTTTAATAGAAGTGTCGTGTTTGTTGCAGGAAGCGAGTGTAAGAAACGCTGGAAACATATGAGGGATCACTACAAGAGGGGAAAAAAAAGAAGAAAGAGGCTCTACAGGAAAGGCTACAAAGAAAAAAAGAGCGGGTGCAATTTTTGGATACTGCGGGAGATGAAAGAAGCAGCTTTACAAACGTTCTTTCTCCGTCCAGTAATGAAGCTTCAAATCCCGAGGAACCAAATATTAACAGTCTGGAACATTCTGAGGAGCACGAGACTCCCGAGCGAGCCTCAGAGCGACCACCAATTGTATCTTCTACACCAGCCTCAGATTGCCATGAGGCCATCTTTCGACCGCCAGCACCAAAATCGAGGAAAGAAAAGGTTGCAATCTAAAAATATTTCCAAGAAAGAACAGAGGACAGATTACATTTGAAACGGTGCCTTGACGACATTGTGGGACAGCCACTACCCGAGGACAACGAAATAGATTTGTTTTTCAGAACTATGGCAGCCACTGTCAAAAAATTTAGACCAGACCTTGCCACCAAAGCAAAATCGAGTGTGTTTAAAATTATTACTCATTTGGAAATAGTAAACCAGCAATTGCTTTTGCCAGCCAATGAATTTCATTCGGATTCCTACTCCTCATCATCGTCACCGTGGACTCCACATTCATCCACAGAACCTACCTACACCAGCTTGGACATAATATCAGAAGCATTCACACAAGCGATTCAAAATGGGGATGATAACTAACTTTTCTTTAAGTTATTTATTCAGTTAACAATAACGTAAAAATAATAAATTATTTGTTTGTGAAATAAAAAGTATTGTTTGAAACGTTTTTTTAACTTACCTTAGCGTTAACGCCAATTTTTCTGCTGCTGTTATTGGTTCTTTGACTCTGTTATAGGAGGAGGTTGTTATATCTTCTTCAACGAGGCTTAAAACAAAGGAAAACCGTTCGCGGGTCAATCTAAAATAGCTTTGAAACTTTTCTTCTTCATCACGGAGATGGCGCTTGATCAAAGTGTTGTATATTCCTTCATTCATGCGTTTTTGAAACACAGCACTCACTTCCTTCCTGCTCTCAGCCAATTCCCTCAAAATTATTTCTTCATCCCTGGCATCATCTATGATTTCTGTTATTATTAGCATCGCAGCGAGTTTTCTTTTCCTCCGTATTACCTCCATTTTTTAAAACTGCAACTGAAATCTGGCACCACCTACGTTGACTGAAAACGCGTCTCTAGAAAAACACTTTCGCGCAGCGTACTGCATTTCACGTCCCTGCCAACGTGATTACGATAAATCGGTTCCGCGCTGCGTAAAAACCCGTCGCTAGGAAAACGTACCTTAACTTCGCAAAATCATAATATAAATTTGTTGACATTATTCCTGACATCGTGATTTTATCAGCGAGGTACGTCCATTGATTACTTCAGTACAATTTGTGGTATGACGTAATATTCATCTTTCGTGATTCTGACTATATCTGCTATTTAATACTAAACGAATTAGTTGATGATGAAGCGGATGATCTCAAATTATGAATGATTCTGAAAGTAACGGATGTATCAAATCATATAGTATTAAAATTTAAACATTTATTGATCAAATGCGACGAAGTATGACATTGCATAACGGCGGAAAAAGTTGTTAATAAGCTCGCTGAAAGTGCTGCAATGTGTACTGATACATTAAATTCGTGATATTGACAGCTCGGACTAGAATTGAACTAGCCTGGACTAACCTTTGCTAAAAGAAATGATATGTCTACATTTATGGAAGAAAAACGGCAATTAGAAAATTGTAACCATACATGTGAGACGTAATTTGTGGTATTCATACCGGAAATAATATTTTACTAATTCGCAGTTTAATTATTTACCTGCTAATATGCTGTCACAATTTCTGTTGTCCCTATCGGAAGAGTAAAATTTTTGCTGTCCTGGTGACCCGGAATTAATATATCTGGCCACAACCTTCTGGTCCCCATTCCACAGGAATACGTAGTATAAGCTCAGCATGATGGCAGCCAAAGATACGAAAAATACGTAGGCTATCACCGTTAAAACACGGACGAGCTTTTTCTTGTGTTTTGGTTCGTATAGCCTAATGAGAAAATATTATTCAATAGGAGTATCGCGGTATTTTCAAGTCAACGAAAAAGCCGAACACCCATTTGTGACTATCCTGGTATATTTCGAAAAAACGCTCAGACACGTCAATTTTGATTTCTAGGGGACGTCTTTTCATCTATCGCCGTACAAAACAGGGTGATCCAAAAATAAGATATTGCGTTACACTTTAGATTTTTGTTTAATCGGTGCTCAAAAGCTAGAGCCACAGCCGCGATGCGCCACCTTGTTGGAAATGAATGTAATTTTCATTTTCTACTATTTCTTTAACCCGTGGCTCTATTGTATTTTCTAACATGTCCAAGTACGTCTCGCCCTTTAAGCTTCCAGGAATAAAAAAAGGTCCTCTAATATGATTTCCGAAAATGTCATCCACGCATTAATTTTTTCAGAATATTGCGAGTGTACCTCTCGAAACAAATGTGGATTCGAGTCACTCCAATATCGACAATCATGTCTATTTACAGCACCATGTAAATAGAGCGTAGACTCTTCCGAGAAACAAATATCAAATAACAGATTTGCATTGTTAATTAAACGTTGGGACATGAAATCTCAAAACTCCAGCCTTCTATCAAAATCATCTTCATTAAGCTCATGGACAAGTTTCATCTTGTATGGATGAAATTTATTGTCTTTCTAAATTCTTTGTACTGTTGAGCGTGTAAATCCTGAAGAGGAAGCCAGTCCACGAGTGCTTTCGGTGTTGTCAAATGCTACTTGTCCCAAAACTGATATTTCTGCGACTTCATTTCTAACTCGACCATTTTATCTAAGGCAATTACGGCGAATATCAGACACTGATACAGTTTCTTCAAATTTTCTTATCGTAAATATTTTCGTCTGGATGTAACGCATTAAATAATCGGGCTCTTGCAATGCTACCATTATGGTAATAGTACAGGTTTGTTCAATATTTACCACAACTAGGTGTCTAACTTAATAAATAAATCAAAATTGACGTGTCCGAGCGTTTTTTTTCAAAATATACCAGGGGAGTCACAAATTGGGATGCGACCTTTTCATTGGGCCACCCTGTATGTATACTCAGTGACATTAGAAGTGTCACACCCAGAAAAAAATATTTCTTCAACTTGATTATTTGGCAATGATGTAGGCTTACATGAACAATGAAGCGATAACATTCTCACGAAATTTTATTGACAAGTAATAAGAAAGAAAATGAATGTGTTGGGCGAGCTCGCAGCTGAATACATCTAGGCATCGACAAAATGAGATAATATGGTTGTGTCACCTTATTCCAAACAACTGGAACTTCGTGGATTAGCTGTAACAGAGTCTGTGTCGGATGGTGCAAAGTGGATAGCTTCCTCCCCATCATATCCCACACATGTTCGATGGGATTTAAATCCGGTGAACGGCGTGGCCACGGCAAAACATTAACGCGTGCTTCTTGAGGTACGAAGAGCAATGTGCGTTGTCTTGCTGAAAAAGGACGCGCGTGCGGACCGCAGTAAAGTTGTATGTAGGACATCATCAACATAACGCGTTTTAGCCTTCTACGACCATCGTGTGTACCTAGACGAATCGCGATTCGTCGCTGAGGATGACATTATGCCATTCTGTCTCCCAATGTTGCCGTTCTCTGCTGCAGTCCAAACTTTGACGCTAGTAGTTCGCAGTCAGAGGAAGCACTAACCGTGGACGGCATGAAAAAGGTCCAAAGGCTCGAATACTGCGATGAAGTGTACGTACGAGGAGGTACCCAAAAATAGCCGGAATAACACTGAAGTGGTCGGAGCTTGTGTAGTACACATTTCTGCCCCTAGAGGCGTACAGCGCAACACATTACCAGTTCAGTGCTACCTGAGTTGTCGATCTGGCTTGTTTTGTTCGTCTGTAGTCATTATTTTTGATAGAGCTGTTTCGTGCTTGTTTTGTTTTTTACGTGCAGCTGTTTTTGCTTTCTAATTGGTAAAATTGCTGCTGGAACTTTTTTAATGTTGAAAATAGCTTACAAAGATGATGCTATGGGAAAAACTCGATTTAAAAATGGTGACATGTCGATTGATGACAAACCTCGCTCTGGACGTCCATCAACTGCCCGAATCGGCGAAATTGTTGGAAAAATTCGAGAGCTTGTGGTTGCAGACCGTCGATTGACAATCGATCAACTATCCGTAAGTAGTGGGTTGTCCAGGAGTTCGGTTCAGCGAATTTTAACAAAAGATTTGTGAATGAAAAGGGTTGCTGCAAAGTTTGTTCCTCGGGCTCTGACTGACAATAAAAAAGAACACCGAGTTAAAACATGTCGTGCTTTGAAACAACAGTATGAATCTGATCCAAATTTTCTGTCAAAGATCATCACTGGTGATGAGACTTGGTGCTAAGATTATGACCCAGAAACGAAGCAACATTCAAGTCAATGGAAGGCGCCATCGTCACCCCGTCCAAAAAATGTCGTTAAGTCAAATCAAACATCAAAACAATGCTGATTTTTTTTTATGTCAAAGGCGTAGTCCATTCCAAGTTTGTTCCGCCAGGTCATACTGTCAATCAGAGCTTTTATTTGTAGGTTTTAAGACGTTTGCGAAACAGTGTTTCGTCAATTCAAAGGGTTCCCTACACTATGCGGGAGGTAACATTCAGGCATAAGACCGTAAGACGAGTGCTCTTGACACTCGACATCAACAAAGCTTCTGGTCCGGACTTGATTCCTGCCATTGTACTGAAGAAGTGTGCACCGGAGCTTGCTCCAGTTCTTTCGCGTCTCTTCCAGATATCTTATGAATCCGGCACCTTCCCAGAAAACTGGAAATTTGCTCATGTCCAACCCATCCCAAAAAAGGGATCTAAGACCGACCCTTACAACTACAGGCCTATAGCTCTCCTTCCAGTTTTAAGTAAGGTGATGGAGAGGTGCATAAATCGCGAGTTTCTGGACTACATCGAACGTCACAGCTTGATTAGCGACAGGTAGTATGGTTTCCGGTACCAGCCATCCACAGGGGACCTCCTAGCTTACGTCACTCAATTGTGGAGTAAACTCATCCAGTCTTATGGTGAGGCTCATGTCGTTGCTCTTGACATCACGAAAGCGTTCGATCAGCTGTGGCACGCTGCCCTCTTAAGCAAACTTCCATCCTATGGCCTCCCAGAAAAGCTTTGCAGATGGGTGGCACTACATTCCTTAGATCACAAACCTCACCCTTTTAACAAAGTTGAGAATCGCCTTGAGTCCAAGCTCCTCCAAAACGTGCGCCGAGGTCTCTTCCTCTACCTCTCATCGTTCACACAAAGGATCCTCAGCCACCCCCATCACGTGCTGGTGGCACCTTAACGTGTTATGGCCAGATAACAGTCCCACCAGCAACCATAGGTTGGCTCTATCCAGAGATAGGCAGAAGCGTCTATCCTTAGCACTGGCCCCTTCAATGAGTTCTCGTGCCTGGTGGAGATGTCTGGAGATACTTCTCCATTTCTGAGAGTGTTGTCTTGCAATCCACGTCTCCATTTTCCTCCTAGCTTTATGCGCGGTCATTCCTAGAGCTGGCTCAGGATCAACGAGCTTGCTGGCTGATCCTGTCTTCGCCAGAGTGTCCGCCGTCTCATTGCCCCTTATTCCAGCGTGCCCTGGTACCCATATTAACTATACCGGATGCCTCGCTGCGAGGCAATCCAGAGCCTCCCTGCATTGCAATACAAGACTCGAAGTAATCTGAAGCGCCTATGTTGACGCTCTGTGGTACGCCTCGGTGGATCAGTTGGCCTTCTTCGTATTCCTCCACCTTCTTCTATCCACACCCTACACACACGCATTACCCTCATTGCAGTACAATTAACAGGGCGGCCAATTTCGCGATAGGACAAACCAACATCTTGATAGGCAATAATTCTACCCCTGCAAACGTCGCTAATATGGTGATCATTTGGACGTCTTCAAACTTTTTATGTTTTGTTATGCTTAACACTAGTAAATGAAATGGTAAAAACTAAAAATATCTGTACTACTCAGCTCTCAGGAACTGCTTTCTTCACAAAAACTAAGAGATGACATTTCAACAAAGGTAAACAAAAACAAAGATAAAACGTTAAGATTGTTGCCGCAGCTTGCTTATAGTCATTATGTTGCCAAAAAAAAACAAGTTGAAGAAACTACTTTTTCTGGGTGTAACACTTCTGTCACTGAGTATATAAAATAGTTCGAAATTAATAAATTAATGATCAACTTGAAGGAATTTTAACGATTTTATTTCGTTTAAATAAGAGCTTTTATGAGAATCAATATTCTGTGTGTGAAAAAATCGAAAAATGGTCCTTTGTACTAACTCTTCTTTATAGTGTTTGCAAAGGAGAACGAACAAAAGTACTTGGTTTCTGGTACCAAAATCAATAGCAATAAGTCACTTATTATTTGAAATGTATTTTAATAGTATGGTATATGAAATATCATATCGTTTTTACTTCTCTACTGGCGAGAAAGTATTGTAATCGCCTAAAAATTTTCGAAAATAAGATGTGAATCTTCTTTGGATGTTATAAATATGACATGTACAGGGTGACTAAGAATGCGAGGTACTGTATCTGGGAACCTATCCAACGTAGAGGCTTGTGGCAAGATCAGTTATTACTAAAACGGCCAAAAGAAAAACCTGGAAAATATTTTCAAGTTTCTGAGATGGCCGTTAGGGGGCGTAAACTGTTGAAAGCATTGGTATGTTTTTTTTTAATGAAATGCTTAATGATGTCTTGACAAGCTCGCGAAAACCGCGTCTCGACATCTTGTTCTTAACCTATAATATGGGCCAAAGAAAATTTTATACGGAAATCCCTTAAATTTTTATTTTTTAAACTAATTTTTCTGGATTTTTTTTCTATTATTAAGTTGTGGCTCTGAAGAGGACCGATTTAAAATAGAAAGATTTTTGATGTCCCCGTAAATGCTATGCATTCCTGAAGTCTCTCGGTATGTTACGTCCTGCATTACTCATCCGGTTTTTCATATCTTCTCTG